ATTATAATTTAATACAAACTCGACATATAAGACATGTTAGAGTTTATCATATTTTTTTATTGATCCAGACCGACAAGTTTATGGTACGAACTATTTGATTAAAAAATAAAATTTTAATATAAATTTTATTATCTATTAAAATTTTAAATTAGATACTTAACGTTTAACTATAAATATAATATTTTTATTAAACTTAAAAGTAATAATATGTTAAATTTATGTTTAAATAAATATTATTCTAAATATATTTATAAATGATATTATATTATTATATTATCGATAATATTTTAATTTAAAAAATATATATTTATATTGTAAAAATAAGTTATTTGTGTAACATAAAATTAAGTTATTTTTATATTAAATTTAAATAATTATATTTTTATATAAAATAATAATTTGTAAATTAATTTAATAGTTTTGGAAAGTTATTTTAATAGTTTCAAAGTAAAACATTAAATTAATAATGAATTATATCATATGTCCTTATACTATGATTCTTATTTCAAATTAATCCTTAAACTTTTAAATATTCCAATGTTATCCTTAAACAATGACTCTCATTCTAAATTAGTCCTTAAACTTTTGATCATTCAAATTTCATCGCCAAACTATAAATCTCATTCTAATTTGGTCCCTAAACTTTTAGATATTTCAATTTCATCCCTAAATTCATCCAAATATGTAATCCCTTTCAACCATAGTTTAACCTAATTTTTTTCAAACATATAATAATATAATTTTCCTAATGATTTTATTAACAAGAGATGTGATTAATATATACGGATATTTTAGGATAAAATTGAAATATTCAAAAAGTTTGGGGAGCATTTAGGATGAAGATCATAGCTTGGGGATGAAAATGAAATGTTAAAAAGTTTGAGGACTAATTTAAAATAATAGTCATAGTTTAAGGATGAAATTGAAATTTTTAAAAGTTTAAGAACTAATTTGAAATGAAGGTCATAGATTGGGGACAATGATGCAATTATCTAGTTAAAAATTCATAATTTGATTTAAATAAATTGAAAACCAAATTAATAAATTATTTTAGTATTTTTATACATTTTAACTCAATTATCTAAAATCGGGTCAATGTTCTCTTCTATCGGGTTTGGATAAATTAAATTCGGGTTACTCTCGGTTTGGATTACTTTTGGTTTGGTTAAAATTCGGGTCGATTTTGGTTCATTCGGGTTACTTTCGGTTTGGCTAAAATTAAAGTCAGTTTTGGTTCGATTCAATTTTTTCGGGTTTTGGGTCAAATTTGAATCATCATTTTTGGGTCTTGATTTAGGTAATCGAATTTGGGTCAAATTTGTCGGTTCTAATTATCTTATAAAATATTATATACAGAAATATTACTGACGTCTATTTTTTTTTATTTGTTTGGTCCATACTCTAGAAGATATAAAGGGATTATAATATAATTTCTAATCATCACGGTCCATGTAGAGAACCTTTAACTATATGTCCAAGGCATACCCTATCATCATAATAAGTTTATTCAAAACTTTGTCACTAATCATACCAGATAAAACATCTACCCGGAGAGACCTATATTAAGTCTTTTTCATACCGTCACACAAAAAATGTCAAGACATTGTTAACAACCAATACTTTATCATAACTTTTTAGGATGATAGTAAGATTTTATATTATAAGGATAAACTTATAAAATTTTGGAAAGGATAGATTTACAAAATTTTAAGAGTGAAAATAAATTATTAATATATATATATATATATATATATATATTCAAAATTTAAAATTTTCAAGGATAATTATCCCAAAAACTATCGGTGATAGCTCTAAACAATTTGTGTGAATTGTTTTTTTAATCTCTAATATCCTATTCTGTATCAATATTACAATAATAAAGAATATTTGGGGGGGGGGGACATGTCAAGATGAGCATGTTTAGTGAATTGAACATTGCAATTGGTTTTAGCATGCCTAAATGATTATGCTTGTTCCTTGAAGAAATGTATTTAAAATTACGTCAAATTGTGGTTCTCATGCTTTGTGATAGGTCACGAAATTTAAATCTCAATATTGCAAATTACAAATGTTGAATACAATGACCAATGAGGTTACGTTAATCAAGAGTCGAATGGTCAAAAAGCATTACCTTAATCTTATCAAAACATTAAATTGAAGCCGACTTATAGATAAGTGATATTAGGGATGGCAATGGGTCGGGTCGGGTGGGGGTAGAAGAAATGGTCCTCCACCCGTGATTCGATCTGACGAAATTAAGGTTTCACCCGACCCGACCCGAATATATGACTTAGAAATCCGATCCGACCCGACCCGAAATAATAAAAAAATATATTTTTATTCAATAAAAACAGTGACTTAATTGAAAAAAAATTATATATAGAGGGGTATTATTGTAATTATCTCTAAATATATAAGATGAAATATATATATTTTTCAGGTCGGGTCGGGTCGGATTTTTTTCACCCTAAACTCGAACTCGACCCGACCCGAACAGTGCATAAAAAAAATCCGACCCGAATCCAAATTTTTTTTTTAAAAAATCCTACCCGATCGTGTCGAGTCGAAACCCGTCGAATTCGGATTGAGTTACCATCCTAGTGATAACCTCCGCGGTCCAATTATTCTTTGAATGTAAGCATTGTCAAATTTTCACGTACAAGAAAAACATAAGACAAATTATGACCAACTTCTTGTAGGAACCCGACTTTTGAGTCTCTTTCCCTTCTAAAAAGCAAGATTTAAAGGTACTTTTCGTGCATTTAAACCGAATAAAGTGCATTAATCGACACAACTTGGAGTTAAGCAATGAATGTTGCTTGAAAATTGCATTTTATAAAATTTCAAGTGTTTTTTTTAATTATTATTTCTTATACGTGTCCTTTCATTTAGCTCAGATTCTTTTATTAGCTCATGTATTACATGAAAATTACGAATTTAATCTTGAATTAAGCAATAACGGTTAAGTCTATCAAATCAAATTTTAGTAATAGTTTCTTTCATAATTTGTGCATGCATTGTTTTCGTGAAGATATGGATTTCAAAATTTTTAAAAACATTATAATTAAATTTAATCAAATTAGAGTACATAAATTAAATCTAAGAACCCACTAATAATATAGAGACTAGATTCACATATTTTGCATATGATAGAGACTAATGACACTATTTAACATTTTATTTACTAGGTGTATGTGCCCCACTTACAGTTAAAGACCGGCGGGGGTGTTTTATATGAGCCGTTGATTACGGGATTAAGTGGGTTTCTATCGAGATAGTTCTGCTGTATGATAATCTTAATATACGATAAAAAAAAGAATTTATCGGAAATATTATTATTTTTAACATTTTTGGTACATTATCTAAAACATTATTTTTTACCGAAAATGTTATTTTCGCTAACTAATTTCTGGTAGAATCGAATATTAATATTTTCGGTAAAAAAATAATATTTTAGGTAATATTTTATCAAAATGTTAAATATTTTAGGTAACGTCCAATAATAACATTTTCGATAGAAAAAATAATATTTTAAATAATATTTTACTGAAAATATTAAAAAATAATAATATTTCCGATAACACATTTTTTAAATGTATATTAAGATTACCTAGACATTCCCTTATCCCCACGTTAGATGCCTCCCAGTGTCCTCTACTTGCCTCAGCTTTTAATTTTTTGTTGTGACAATACCTCATCTTTTAATTATACAACTTATCAAATATAAATTTACATCAAATTAAATTTGAAATCATAATTACACAACTTAAAATGTCAATTTAAAATTTAAAAAAACTTAAATTTCTCAATTTGAATAATTTGAGAATTTTATCACCCACCCAAAACCCTTAAAATGTCAATTTAAATTTAAAAAAAGTTAAATTTCTCAATTTGAATAATTTGAGAATTTTATCACTCACCCAAAACCAAACCTACCTCTTCCATAGACAAGTATAATGGAAGGCAGATGATGTAGGGCCATACATATTCATGGTAAAGCAGACCATTGGTAAGACTACAAAATTTCTTGTTTTTAAAAGATTTACTTTAATATTCTTCTTGGCTTAAATATCTATATGATCCACTCTTTGTTGTTTTCTCTCAAATTGATATCTAATTTCCCCTCCCCCCAACTTGTTCATACATATTCATTACGTACATTAATTTGATATTGATCACTAACATCGTTAATTAGTTTAAATTTGACACATGAGATCACTAGGGTTGCCGAGAAATGCAAGATTCTGGATAATGTATAACGAGAGAGAGAGAGAAAATCTCCATCCATTGTGTTGGCAAAGTAGATTCTATCTTTAACATTACCATTAAGCTATGTACCAAACTAGTTGAAGGAATAAAACTACATGTATAAAACTGAGAGAAAAAATAGATACCAAAATAGAAAAATGTGACAAGTACAAATGTCATATGGGTATTTAAGCCTATATTCTTTTATATTTAATACAAATTGAGAAAAAAATAAGGGTAAATTGTACGCTTACTTATTGAATTTCTCTCTCTTATTTCATTCACTGTACTTTTAATTTTTTCAATTTACTCATTAAACTTTAGACGATTTTTTGTGATTATTTTAATAATAGAACAATCCACAGAAGACTTGTGATTAAAAAAATAAATTCTACGTTTACTAAATTTTACTCTCTGTTCTATTTTACTCACTATACTTTATTTTTTTCAATTAATTTAACAACTTCGTAATATCTTTATAAATTGGTCGAGTCACAAAAAATTTAAATAAAATTAAATGTATAAAATTCAGTAAGTAAATTAAAAAAAATAAAAGTAAGATTAGTGAAATAAGAGAAAATAAAATTCAATAAATAACGTGTAATTTACTTAAAAAAATAGTTTCAAACAAAAGCAACGTTAATGAAGATATGTTTTTTTTTTTAGTAATAAAGGGGCCTCAACCCCTCCTTCAAGAGATAGACCCTCCTCTTTAAGTACCCCGTCCACCCCTCTCCTTCCACTCATACCCCAACCATCACAGCCCCTCTCACTGTTCAAAGAACAGAGCTGAGTTTTTAGACTTCTCGTCATAGCGTTGAATTAATTAAAGGGTGGGGAAAAATGAAGATTGTGAGTTTATTCTGCGTTTTCATGCTTATTTGTTCAATGTGGCCGATGGGCGAAGCTAGAATTCCAGGAGTTTACCCCGGTGGTGCATGGCAAAATGCCCATGCTACCTTCTACGGCGGTTCTGATGCTTCTGGTACAATGGGTACGTACCCACAATTTTGGCCTCATTTTCCCTCAAAAGCTTCTGCTTTTTCTTATAATATTTTGTTGCAGGAGGAGCTTGTGGGTATGGGAACTTGTACAGCCAGGGGTATGGGGTTAGCACGGCGGCATTGAGCACCGCATTGTTCAACAATGGTTTGAGCTGCGGTGCTTGCTTCGAGATCAAATGTGCTAGTGATCCCAAGTGGTGCCATTCAGGGAGTCCTTCCATCTTCATCACCGCCACCAATTTTTGCCCCCCTAACTATGCCCTCCCGAGCGATAATGGCGGGTGGTGCAACCCTCCTCGCCCTCACTTTGACCTCGCCATGCCCATGTTCCTCAAGATTGCTGAGTACCGTGCTGGCATTGTCCCCGTTTCTTACCGCCGGTATGTGTGCTCTGTTCCTTGTTTAAGCTCATTTGCATTTTCTAATTTTTTGTTTTACGCAAAAACGTTTTATTAATGCATGACAGCTCATTTGTTTTTTCGTTAATCTCTGTTTTAGATTAGATGTTGGGTCGTACTTTTTTTCTGATGCAAGCTCTCGTAAAGTCTGTGTCAGAGCAGATGAGTTATTATTATTAGCTTTGGTCTTTTTAGTTTTACCAAAATGCCCTTTTTATTTTTCCTCATTTATTCTCAACCCCAATCTTAAAAGTTAACCGAACTTCGAAAGGATTTTTAGCTACCAAATCAACATAACATGTGGTTGATACAGGGATGAGATTCTAAATTTTACCATTGTAAAGGACTAGCGCTACAATTAGACCATTCTATATATGTATGAATATATCTCGAATATCAGCAGCTGTTAATGGAATATATCGGGGACTAGCGCTACAATTAGTCCCCGATGTTCTTAAAGCACGCTCCATGTTTCATGCTAACAATAATGCTCTTTTTTCCCTTGATAATAAAAGGGCTCACGGTTATGGCTTAAATTACGCAGAGTGCCATGCCGGAAGAGGGGAGGGATACGGTTCACTATCAACGGATTCCGTTACTTCAACCTGGTTCTGATCTCCAACGTGGCGGGAGCAGGGGACACCGTGAAGGTGAGCGTGAAAGGATCTAGAATGGGATGGATGAGCATGAGCCGGAACTGGGGTCAGAACTGGCAGTCAAACGCGGTGCTAGTGGGACAGACGCTGTCGTTCAGGGTGACGGGCAGTGACAGGCGCACTTCCACCTCTTGGAACATCGTTCCCGCCCATTGGCAGTTCGGTCAAACTTTCACTGGCAAGAATTTCAGGGTTTGAACGCAACTTAAGAACCACAAAGGAAAAAAACAAAAGCAGTAGCAGTTATTAACCCCATAATATAACCTTCTTCTTCTAAAAGGGAAGTTTCCCACCATAACATAACGGTGTTTTAGGGGCGGGGTTCCGTTTTTAACCAATTGGATAGGGGTGTTTGTTCGTTTGTTTCCTTTGGTTCAGGCATCTGAAACGGTGGGTTTTCTTTTCTTTTTGCGATGTGGTTTGAAAGGGAGGACTGAGGCGGCTGCACAAAAATGTAGCCCGCAGCCTATCAAGTCTTCAAGGGATTCGGGGAGTGTCTTGTGACGATCTCTTGTGTATTTTTAGTTGAATTGAATATATATATGTGGTTTGTTTCTTATCACTGCTATCTATTTTAATATAAGTATTCATTCTTTTTAAATAACACTCGAACAATATCTTTTACCAAATTAACATTCTTTTGATAAAGGCATGCCTATCTAAAGTAAGTGCGTTTTGGTTTACATTGTAGCTTTTTCGATTGAATTTTTACACATCTACGTCAATCAGAATTAAAATAAAAAAGTAAAAAAAAAATTAGTTAAAATTTTCAAAAAAAAAAACGAATTTTATTAAAAAATACGAATTTTATTAAAAAAATAAATCATATTATATTGTACATACTTACACAATCTACGTGCGCATCATATATATGTATTACCTTCAATCGCTCAATTAGTGTATGTTTAAGAGATTATACTTAAAACACTTAAAATAATCATATAAACAATGTGACATTTAAGAATATCATGACAAATTTATTAGTTTCGATCTCTTAAAAACAATTCTTAAAACTTGACTAAACTTAAAAAAAATTAAATAGAATGACGGATTCCTTTAAAAATAATATTTTGTTTTAAATTCATCTTACGGAAATTACGAGTTCATCCTCAACTATAACAATACTTTATAATTATATCCCTCTAATTTTTTTAATCTCGTATAAATTATTCGACTAAGAAAACCGGTTTTTAAAGATATAAAAAAGAATTAGAATTTATTTTGTTAATTAAAAGTTAGTTGTTAAATCTTAAAAAGGTTAAAAAAAATTGCCCATAACTCCGTAATGCGTAGTTGGTTGGGAGGTCACATCCGAACAAGGGTCCAACTCCAATGCTTTTGCCTAAATTTACTTCAATCAAACCACCACCGCACATGGGATGTTGCCCCCGTGGGCCGGAATTCATCCTTTTTTTTAAGTTAATATCAAATAAAATTTTATTTTAAAGTGAGTTTATAATTATCATATCACAAATTCGATTGATGATGATATTATTTTATTTTATTAAAACTGTAATGAAAATTTTCTATTACAATATTTAATATAATTTAACTATCACATTGACTATTCTTAAGCTATATTGAAAGGCATTAGTACTTACATCATTTGTATTTCTTATATTTGGAGGCATAAAGAACAAAGATCTTTGGATTCTCATCTCACCTCCAAAAGGCCTTTGGATTCCTTTTGTGTTAAGAATCCGCTTTTCACATTATTAGGAAAGAGACTAAACATTTTTTTATCTAATGATATGGTAACATGGGCACTTAACTAAGACAAATGGTTCTACATGTGTCAACGGAGCTCGTTGTAATTACTACCTTTTTAGAAAAATAAATAACTAATGTTCTAATCCACAATAAATTTTGAGTTAGATTTCTAAATATTTTCTCTCCCTTTCTTATATAAAAATATCTTAAGTAAATTGGATATATGTTATTCGATTCCATTCGAATACTTGAATATTATGTTATTTGATCATATAAATCATGATACATTTTATTATGTAACTTGACAAATTGATATTTGTGATGCCTTATGAGAATATGTTGATTGTCATGTTTGATTTGTTAAAATCAACTAAATGCTTCACTTGATATTGATAATAAATTGTGTGCTAATCAGATAATGAAAAATGATACTTTTTGAGTCCTTTGGTGGGTGAGTCTCGTAGAGAATACCCGTTGGGAGACTCACTCATCAAAGTCAGTTTGAAATTCAGGTCGGTCCAGATTAATCAGAACAAAACCTTGAAACTGGAGTGCAATAAAAAATAACAATTTTTTGTACTTTAATAATTTGATTTTGAGCCCTTGGTTATTAGCTTAATTTTGAGTATAATTGGTACATCATATGATTTATAGCGTTTGTGTACAGATTTTTAAAGACTTTGGTCTTAGCAAGAGGGACAAATTTTTAAAGAAGTGAGATTCGAGTATCCTTATATTACTATTTGTTAAGAGAATGAGTGATGCAGCTCATGTGAGAGTTCTAGAATGAATGAGGCAGCTCGTGTGGAAGTTTTAGAACAGAAGTTAGTGAAGTTCTAGAATCTAGACGGTTATGAGTTTGTTAGTTTGTTATAGGGAGTTGATGCACTGTTGTAAAAGACCATAATATTGTAAGTGTAAACAAGTATTCAAGTAATTCAATCAAGAAGTAATTTCCTCATTCCTTTACATCATTTCTGTTGAATTTCATTATGGTATCATTCGCTTTCGGTCCTGGAGATCTTTGCTGAAGTTGCAATGGCTCTCTTTGGTGATTCATCCTCATCATCAGCTCGTATGTTTACCAACAAATGGGTAAACATGGTGCTCGATGAGATGAAATTCCTTCTATGGAAGCAGCAGGTGTTACTTACAGTTCACAACCACTGCCTTGAAAGATTGTTGAATGGCTCATTAACAGCCCCTCCGCAGATGATTGTTGATGCAAACGGTGCAACTGTCGCTAATAAAGCCTATGAAGAATTCATAGCTCAAGACAGTGCCCTTGCATCCTGACTCTTATCCACTATCAGTGCCCATTGTTGCCGCAGTTCGTTGGTGCCGAGTCAGCCGCTGTTGTGTGGAATACGATTTTACAGTTTTTTGTCAATCGATCCACTAGCACGGTCATGAACCTACACTATAAGCTTCAGTCCATGAGAAAAGGCGATGACTCTATGCGAGTTTATCTCACTCGAGTTAAGGAAATCTGTGACTCGCTTGTGTTGTGTGGAAGTCCAGTGTCTCAAGTTGAGCACATTGTGAGTATTCTTAAAGGACTGCCGCGTGAATACCAGTCGTTCATGGCAGTCATCACTACTACACGCGAGACTCTGTCCTTGGATCAGATTTACTCCATGCTCGTTGATGCGGAAACGCAGATTGAGGGATTTGATTCATATCCTGAGAATCTTCCCATGAACGCTCATGTGGCTTAAGGACGAGTAGCAGCTGGTTCGTCTGACTCGTCTCGTAATGGTCGATCCGGTGGACGTGATCGAGGTCATACACGACTTCAGTGCCAGTTATACGGAAAAATGGACATTCTGTAGATCAGTGCTGGTATCGTTTTAATCGAGACTTCCCTGGCGTTAATGCAGCAGCTGGTTCGTCGTGATCCAAAGATGATTCTGGTACTGTTAATTGTACCACGTTTGATTCATCGGGATGCTCTTGCTGCAATGTCAAGCAAATGGCCTCTTCTAGTCAACTCAAGCAAATATGGCTTCGGGTGAATATTGGGTTATCGATTCGGGGGTGACTCATCATGTTACCCCAGATGGTTCCAAGCTAATACACTCTACTGAGTTCTATGGCCCAAGTAATCTCCTAGTAGGTAATGGTGGTTCATTAGGGGTGAACTCGATTGGTAAGACTGTTTTGAATGCTTCCTCTCGAGCTTTAATATTGAGTTATCTATTGCATGTGCCAAAAATAACAAAACACTTGCTCTCGGTTTCGAAGCTTGCTAAGGACAACAATGTCTTCATTGGGTTCCATGCTGATGAATGCTTTGTTCGAGATGAAGCGACTGGTGCAGTGGTTCTTCGAGGGCAGCAACATGATGGGATGTATACCTTTACTATGGAACCAAAAAATATTTTGTGTAATAAAACCAGTTCGATTGTCCTAGTGAATTTGATCTTTGGCATAGGCGTTTAGGACACCCTACCTTTCAAACATTGCAAGTTGTATGTAATCAATGTTAACATCTCAAAGAGTTTGAATAAAACTTGTGTTGCGTGTTGCATAGGAAAGAGTCACAAATTGCCCTTTACTTCTTCACCACTGCGTACAATACTCCGTTTCAGCTTATGTTCACTGATCTTTGGGGTGTTGCACATGTATCGTTGTGGCTATCGTTACTATGTATCATTTGTGGATGCATGTACGCGACATACGTGGGTGCACATGCTAAAGGACAAATATCAAGCCCTTGATGCATTTCGATTGTTCTAAGCTATGGTCACTACTTAGTTCTCCTTGTCTATTAAGGTTGTTCAGAGTGACTGGGGAAGTGAATTCATACGGTTGTCATGTGAGCTAGCTCGTGCTAGCATTTCCCATCGAGTCACATGCCCTCATACCTCCAAGCAGAATGGCGTGGTCGAACGCAAACACAAACACTTGGTTGAATTGGCTCTAGTGTTTCTAGCTCAAACTACTCTTCCGTTTCGATTTTGGTCCTATGTTGTGGCTACAGCTGCACACCTAATTAATCGGCTACCTACGAGAGTGTTAGGTAATATCTCACATTTTGAAAAGCTGTTTGGCTCTAAGCTTGATTACACCACATTGCATGTGTTTGGGTGTCGTTATTTCCCACACTTGAGGCCCTTTTAACAACATAAGTTGATGTTTAGGTTTGCCCCTTGTGTTTTCCTGGGCTACAGCTCACAACATCGAGGTTTTCAATGCCTTAGTCAAGATGGTTGTATTTTCATCTCAAGGCATGTTAAATTTGATTAACATGTGTTCCCTTTTGCAGATAAGAAACAGTCTGAGCCTCTCGATGGTACATGGAGGTCTGCACCTTTGCAAATTGTTCCTTCTTGTGGAAGGATAAGAATGGTGGTTGGTCTGCCTATACACTCTAGCGAGTCATCACATGCGCATGCTGTTGATTCTAGTTTTCAAGGAAATATTGATTCTACTTCCCACACTGGTGTTGCTAACTCTACTCCTCACGCTGAAGCTACTCGGCTATGAATGTCA